AGTGGAAGAGGTGTATGAGAGAGAGAGAGAGAGAGAAGAGATAAACGGTAGCTGGGAAACAAAGAGGGTGGGTTGGAATGGGTTTAGGTAATTTGTGTTGGGCTGCAAATGGTCATAAACAACAAAGGTCGTGGGTTAAAAGGCTTTAGGGGGTGAAATTAAATTTTTTGGGATAGTTTGATGCTGCAAGATATTTCTAACAATTGAGGGATATTGGTATACTGTTTACTAGTTTAGAGTGTATGATGATATTTTCCCTAAAATGTTTACATTTACTTACAAAAAGAAAAGCTTGGTAGTGGAGGGTGACACATTCAACTTCACCAGATGGACCCATTAAGGATCCTCTTTCACTTGGTGGTGTGGGGTTATTTCAAGGAGATTCATGATCTTGCAGTCACTTCCTAATAGATTTCAATATGTTTTTGAAAAGGAAAATGTCCAAGCTGATATGCTTTCCCAGAGGGTGCATCTTTGATCTCTGTTGAAATGGAACTAGTTGCTCCTTTCTTCCTCTCATACTTCCTGGATCCCCAAATGTGCCTCAGTTTCTCCTATGGATGCAACTTTATATATACTCTCCTTCATCAAACATTTGATGTATGCTCTTTAATATTCAATGACATTGTGAATCTTAGTTTAAGAAACAGGTATGTGAGACCCACCCATGCTTGTAGATGAGTGGGGGATGGATTTTTGGTGACAGACCTGCTCAATGACTTTAGATGGAGAACTATGCAAGTTATAGCTGTTGTGGAATTAGGATCCTCCACTTCTAAGTTTCGTAAGGATCTTTTAATCTTTTGTTGTGCATGTGTCTCTTACACGTGTTCCGATTTGGTCCCACCTATTACGCTCCAGAATAGCATGCTCCGTTGATGCCAATGAATTAGGTCTATCATTAGTAAACATGCTATGAAATGCTTGTGTTTGGTAATTTTCACCCTTTTTTTCTTCTTAAGGCTGCCTTTTAGGATAATTAAAAAAAAAAATTCTACTCTCAAATACCAGCTATTTTCTAATTGTTGCTCTCTTTTAAAGAGGCATTTAAGCTTCATCTTGAAGTCTTAAAGGGGCTCTAAATTTGTACCCTTTCAAATCCAAGTTTTTTACTTTTGCGAATCAAATTGATTGTTAATTGCTGCGACGTTATGTAGAAAGGGTTTCAGACTTAGCTTCTAGGCATCCTCATATCAACTTTTGCATTCTGAAATTTCCCATGCGAGGGACTTGTTTCCCATGATCTCTGAGATGTACTCTCTGTTAGTACTTGGTAGCGGTTTTTGGGCTTTTTTTTTTTCATTGTGTGTTGTAAGTTAAGATTGGTTAGACCCCTGCTTAGGTTCCAGGTCTCAGATTGTTTTGTAGGGTAATGTGTTGACTCAGTGTTCTTCCCCACTCAAGTTGCTTCTTTAGGTTGAGATGTATGGCCGAGAAAAGTAGGATCCCTTAGATCCATGAGCCTAGACCCAGGATGGTATCCCAACTATAAGTTCCTGGTTGCCAATGGGTATAGTTTGCTCACATTTGTATGCTGAACCAAAGGGAAATCCTATGTTGTGGTTCTCCTAATTTCAAAGATGGAAACATTATCAATGCTCACCCATATGTCTAAAAACATGTTGAGAAGCCCATTGGTTCAATTGTCAACAGAGAAAAACATGAAGAAGTTTAAAATTACTGGATACCATTGTCATTAAGTGAAAAAGAGGTTACCAATGCTGCCATCATCATCAAATGAAAAAGAGGTTACCCACTAAATGATGTGTATTTTAGCCGTAGAGTTGGCATATCGTTTGTATCATTTGTGAATGATGAAGGCTATTTGGTTATTTCCTATATTTGGAGTATTAAAACACGAGGCTGCATCGAAAAATAGTTTTTCAGCATATTGAGGATGCATGACCACTCTACTCTCTATCTCTTTCTATGATGTTGTGCTTTGCATTAGAAGATTATCCAATTGATCATCCTGACCTATGGATGTAGGAAAATGTTGTTTTGATTTTAGAAGATTCTCCAATTGACCATCACGACTTTATATGTATGGGTATGAAAGAAAAATGGATTTTAAGTCTGAAAAAGTGCATCTTGTATCACATTATCTAGATCATACATTTTCAAGTGCTTGAACATATTCTTGATTCACATTGTCTTTTTGAACTTCAAATTTTGTAATTAGGGATAAAAAATAGATTTTTGAGTCATCGTAAAGTTTTCGGCATAAGAACTATATCTTTTGAAAGAGTTTAAAGGTGCACCTTAAGGTGAACACCTTTTATATATATATATATATGATTTTATTGTTTTCTTGGCTCTTCCCTTTTAGCTGTGTTTGTACCTGAAAACTTTCCAGGAATATTGTTCATAGGGAAAATATTTGGCCGGACTGGAATAGCAACCGCTCTCCCCCATTTTAGGGGCTTTATGCGTCCGCTCTCCCTCAATTTTGTCACGCATTCCTCTTAAGATTGTTGCGAAAATAATTTGGAAGAAGATTGAACGGATTTCTCTCTCTATTTCGAGAGACAATGGTAAATAAGGGACATCTATTTCAGAAAGAAAAATGGTATTAAACCGAGGTCCTAGGGAGATTTGTTTTAACGCAATTTTCATAGATGGTGTTCCTAATATTTGAAGGGTGCAGTTTGTATAGAGCCGAGGCTCTAAACAATCAAAGTAAAACACACCTTCAAATATTGTTGAGAAATGTTGTTTCAATACTGAAAATTTTTGTGATAGCCTTAAATGTATTTTTTTTTTTAATTATAAAATTATAAAGCTTAAAAAATAGTGTAGATCAAGTCGATATATAAAACTTGAAAATCTTGAAAATTGATGGTCCAAAAATGCATTACGTGATGCACTATTTTCAAAACTTGAAATCCAATTTTTTTTTTTAATGTACATGCATCTTAATGTCGAGATGATCAATTTGAGGATATTAATCGAAATTTTTGAGGTGGGCTCTAATTTGATTGTTTAGAGCCTTGGCTCTATATAAACTTTGTCCATATTTAAATATATTTAAATATCTTTTGCTTATGCCCTACTTTTTGAGAGCGTGGCTTGTATATTAATTTTATCTTTCTCTATACAAGCAATTGAGTTTAAATTTTGGGTGTTCATGCTCTCGATCATCACGCACCTAAAAATATTATCAGACGAAAGACCTAAATATCGTTACAAGTTTTAAGGTTAGTTTGGTCATTTTTTTAAAAATAAATTTTATATATATTTTTTTATGGAGGCATGATTGTAAGAAGTGTGGATGCTTGAAATCTCTCTTACTTCATTGTATAGAAGAGTTTAAAGTTTAAATAGATTGTATTTAAATTTTATGGGGGCATGATTGTAAGAAGTATTGATGCTTGAAATCTCTCTTAATTCATTGTATAGAAGAGTTTAAAATTTAAATACATGATGTGAAGTGTAAAATATGGAATATTTTGAATCTGCCAACATATAGAGGAAATTTACAGAAATTTCCCTTTGTTTAGCGTTGAATTTTGTAAAGTGCAGCATCATCATCTCATTGTCCTTGATTTTGAGTTCTTAAAGTTAAAGATTTATCCGCCCTTATCATTTCTGAAAGTACTCTTTGCTTTTTTTGGGGCTTGTTCGTTGGGGTGAATATATTAACGTTATCTGTGATGAATTTGGGGCAAAGCAAATGTCCCTTAAGGTGGCGGACTGGTATAGCCGTCTGCCATTTCCCTTGTTTGTTTATGAGCGTGTCGGATATTTGGACGCGGTGGCTTCTCGGTCCATCTCTTTCAGAGACTGTAGCACCGTCCTGTTTGATAATAGGAAGTGCTATGCAAAATTTGGAACGTGCGGCATTTTCTTAAATAAAAAATAACATTGGAAAGTGCATGTTCTATGGTGACCATGGAACCGTGGGATCCACTTTCTTAGAAGGCGTAATTTCCAAAAGCACAAGCGCAAGCACGTCTTCCCAAATTCACACATGCCGTACATGATTCATTTATGGGTATGCTTATTGGTTTTTTATATTTTTGGGTATACTTGTGCATTATCTTATTCCTTTTCCTTGACAAACAACTCAAACCAGAACTGATGTTTATGATGTTGAGAGTAAGTGACGAAACTTATGGCGACTACCGTCAAACACTATACTGGTTAATGAGGCCCAAGATTCCTTTTAACTTCCTTGATCTTCTTCAGCTTGTCATCCATTGTTGCGTAATGCAACAAGTTTCCTTTATTTTTCGTAGTAATGCAATATTATTGTTTTAAGTAGAAATTATTGAACCACTATTTGCTTTATAATGCATCGACTTTTTTATTTTGTTGTTTGCTTTATGACACACATCTCCTTGTTATGGAGTTAAGAACAATGGGATTTTTGAAATATTAAGTGGGCTTAATTGTGATAATGAGAGAAATTACAACATAATAAGAAAGAAGTGAAGAAAAAGTGGAGGAGGAGAAAGGAACAAATGGGAAACTGATTAAGCGCTAGGCCAAAGTTCCTTAAGGGGAAAAGTTTATATGGAATCTAGGTTCTAAACAATCAAATTAGAGCCTACCTCAAAACTTTCACTAGAAGATGTTGTTTTGATGTCTAAATATCATCAAATTGATCATCTCAACATCAAGATGCATGGACGTGAGAAAAAAAAATGAATTTCAAGTTTTGGGAATAGTGTATCTTGTTACGTATTTTTGTATTGTCAATGTTTCAAGCTTTTATATATATCTCCTCGATCTACACTATTTTTTAAGTTTACTAAAGATGAAAATATATTTTAAGGTTATCAGGAAACTTTCAAGTATTGAAACCATATTTCTTGACACTCTTTAAAGGTGGGCTCTAATTTGATTGTTTAGAGCCTCAAACGGCACCATTCGTTAAAAAGTCGGCAATATTATTGAAATCTCTAAACACGTGAGCTAAGTGCTCTTCTATGTAGGGGTGGCAATGTACTTAGACCTGACTTGGGACTTGTCGGGTATGCCCGAACGGGTCTAGGTATGGGTCCAACATTTGGACCCGATGGGTTGGGTTTGGGTCCAAAACTTGGACCCAAACACTCTTCGGGTTTGGGTTCGGGTTTGGGTTCGGTTGGACCCGACTTATACTCGTAAACTGTTGAAGATAAAATACTTCAAGCGCTTGGGTGTATTAAGAATCGTATATAATAAAAATTCATAATCATCTTTAACTATTAAATGACAAATAAGACGGCTTGAAATTTAATGGTGCGTTGTGACCTTGTTGCCAACAATTTGGGTATATTAGGGTAAAGAAATGGCAAAACAAAAAAAAGAAGCTCATAGTGAGGGTGGCAATGGACCTGACTTGATTCAAGACCTGACGAGATAGACCCGAGACCCGATGGGTATGAGTATGGGTCCAACTTTTGGACTTGGACTTGAATACATTCGGGTTTGAGTCCGATTCTAGCCCGACCCATACCCGACCCATTGCCACCCCTACTTCTCTCCCTTGGGAATTATACGGTTTGAATTGTGTGGGTGTGTGCTCTCTTGTGGCTCGATTATGTCTAAAATAAAGCGAATATAGACTAGAGATACAACAGAATAACTCAGTAAGTCAAAATACGTGTTGAATTCTTATAACGAGAAATAATCTCATTTTCCATAAAAATATTATCTCAAATAAGCTTACTTCTCAAGAAAGCAACCTTCTTAGGGTCAATGATGTTCTCAAGGACAACTCTAAACCGATTAAATATTATTTTGTTGATAATTTTATAGAGAACATTACACAAACCAATTGGTCTAAAATCCTTCAAAACAGATAGGGCATCCACCTTAGGAATCAAACAAATGAAAGTAGAATTAATTTGCTTTAAAAGCTTACCTTTGATGAAGAAATCCTTGAGAGCCTTGTAAATATCTTTATTAATGATTTCCCAAGCGAATTTTTAACATTGCACTGAAAAACCATCCGGTCCTAGAGCACTCTTGGTTTGCATGTCCCAGATAGTAGCCTTATCTCTTCCATAGTGACAAGTTCAACCAATTTTACCGTCATATCTGATAATGTTATGGGCATTTACGATGGAGATTAGGAGGAATTTCCTCTTTTGTTTTCTGGATCTAAGAACAATCAATGGAGACTAGTATGGATATTATCCTAATTGAAACAATCAATGGCAAGTGTAATGTTAAAATTTGAGCATGAGCTAGTGAAGTCTTGCTTTGAGAAGTGGGAGGACTATCTTTTGGGATATATCCTGTGACGTAGACTGGAATGGATGTATATGAAATGGATGTTATAAAAGATGTGGAGGTTGAAGATCGAACTTGAAATTTTTTCTATGAGAGATGGGTTTTGATTTTTCAATTCAAATCAAAAAAAGAAATGAAAATAGCTCGTATTGGTGGCCCTTGGTTTGCAAACAAGAAATCCTTAGTTCTACGGAAGGGGACCCCTTAGTCCAACGTTCTAGATGCAAGAGGGAGAACCGAGAATGAAAATTAAACCAAGCCCTGTAGTAACTTTATGGGATCCAAAATGCCATGTGTATTCACCTCTCTTTCTAGTATTTTTTTTATTTAAAGAGGCTTTAAATTTGTGAAAAATTAATTAGCAATTTTTTATAAGAAAAGTCGGAAGGAAAAAAAAATTTGGGTTGGGGCTAGATTGGGCCCGGCCAAGCCCAATAGGCCTAACTGGCCTTTCAACTTTTTGTCCTTTAAGAAAAGTCCCCAGAGAAATTTTAACCTAAAAAAAAAATTGGGCCGGGCCAGGCCCAATGGGCATAATGGCCTCACAGTCCGAGCTGGGCCCTTTGTTCGAGCTATACCGGGCTGTGCTTGATTTATGTGTAAAATTTTGGGCCTTATCGGTCCGGTCTAGCCCCGGCTTATTTTCGGGCAGGGCCTTGTCGGGCATGGCAGAAACAAGATTCGCGTTTCGGAGCCTCGGACCAGGCAGGGCACTGTCCATTGGCAGCCCTAATCCCAGCTCTCTTTTATCTCGTTTTTTCCTATTATTTTGCTTCATATTTTTTAGCCCGGCCGTGCTCATCCCTCTTCTTTCTTGTTTTTTCTCTTATTTTAAATTTTTTTTTTCTTTTTCCAGCCCAGCCAATCCCTAACAGGGCAAGCGCTGACCCTGGGCCGGCACTATGGGGAGAAGGGCCGGTCCAAGGAGAAGCCTAATCTCCATATTCGACAACTTTCAAATAGCTTGTGAATCAAATATTCCAAAACTTCTCCATATTAACAATTCCAGTTTCCAAACACACTAAACCCCTATATTAGGAAGAATATCAAGCTTTCGATAACCAAACTTATTCCTACTCGATCTAAGAGGACGAGAGTTTTTAAGTTTAGCGTATACTGTACATCTAGTCTCTCGTTCAAGAAACCTAGTCTGACTTTTTTAGAAAAATATTTAAATTTTGGGAATTATATGAATTATTAGATGATTATTTTCAAAAATAAAAACGTTATCTTCAAAAGAAAGATTTGAATTTGGAGTTTCTCTCAAAAAATTGGACGGTTTCTATTCAATTTTGAGACTTTTTTTTTTTAATGCAATTAGAAAAATTACTTTTATTATTAAAATCAGCCTATTGCTTGAAGATATTAGATCGCCAAATTTTGGGGCCCTAAAATTAATTTTATATTGAGATTTACATGAGGGAGTAAATAGACAGTATGATCCTATTAGAGTAGGAAAATCTTTTGGGAAAGTATCACAAATATACTTTAATTTTCGTCTATTCAAACCTCAATTTTTATAAACCCCACCCATGTTATACCTACCATAAAAACCTTATACGGCATTTTAATTTCTGTAAAAACCCACCCATCTTATGCTACCCTCGAAATGCCGTAAACCATTCATCTCTTTAATTCTTTTTATGTTTTTCGTCCATTCAAACCTCAATTTTTATAAACCCCACCCATGTTATCCCTACCGTAAAAACCTTATACGGCATTTTAATTTCCGTAAAAACCCATCCATCTTATGCTACCCTCGAAATGCCGTAAACCATTCATCTCTTTAATTCTTTTTATGTTTATCTATTCTTTCTCTCTTTAATTGTTTTTAATAATAATCTCTTTCATCTCTCTAATGCTTTTTATGTTTATCTCTTCTTTTACTCTCTAATTCTGGTTAATACTCTTCTTTCTCTCTAATGCTTGGTTAGTACTCTTCTTTCTCTCTAATGCTTGGTTAGTACTCTTCTTTCTCTCTCTAATGCTTGTTATGTTTATCTCTTTTTTCACTCTCTAATTCTTGTTAATACTCTTGGTTCTCTCTCTAATTTTGTTTCTTTTCTTTCTCTCTCTAAATATTTTCTCTCTTGAACTCTCTTTTAATCTCTACTTCATCAACTCAACAAACTCTAATTTTGTTTCTTTTCTTTGTCTCTCTAAATCTTTTCTTTCTCTAACTCTCTTTTTATCTCTAGTTACTTCATCAACTCAACAAACATGATTCCAATATAATACAAATCAGACTCTATCTAATTTTTATAGGAGATGTGGTTGAAGGGAGTCTTTATAAGGGCGGAGAAGGTATGCAGAGGTTGTTATCCAAATATTAGAAAGAAAAAGAAAAGATAAAAATAAAAAGAATTAGAGATAAGAAAGAGGTAAATATAAATAAAATTAATTTTTATGGTACTTAAAATGCCATTTAATTTTACGGTACTTTAAGTACGGTAATTGCCTTAATGCTTATTTTGATAAAAAAAAGCTGAAAATTAAACAAAAGAGGTGTGCACGATTGAAAGTTGAAATTTTTTTTTAAAGAGTAAAGATCCTATAGGACCTTCCCCCACTTACATATGTAAGACCGCAACGGATCCCCATTAAAATTGATATGTATTCCATCACATGGATGTATATGCTAAATTTAATAGTGATCATTTGATATCCTACATAATTGAGTGAGAGAAAGATATATAACATCATTTCTCTTTGTTTTAAATAGACCATAATATTTGTGATGACCCAAACAAAACTTATTTTTCGTATTGGGGAATGGCATCCGGTTCTGGTGCTTCCTTTCGGTACGAGACCCATCACGGCAGGCGCCAAAGGCCGTGCAAGCGAAGGGAGCACTTAACCGTTGGACACATGGCGTATTCTTATTGGACTTCATCCCAACGAACGCCGGCTGGGGAGTTGCGACGCTCAAGGAAGCAACGAACAAAACGTATCCACTGCTCGCTCAATTGAGCCTTTGAAGAAATAAATGTCCGAGGAAAAGAATCACAAGGAAATTAAATAAACCATCTTTTTTAAGGAACAAAAAATGACTTTCGCATATTTCTAGTAAAAATTCCACCCAACGTTTCTTATTTGGTTGTGTACCCAGTCTTCTGCATTAATGTGATTGTAGCCCTCTTTGCAAATGCGCTT